AGTTGGCGTCGCCACGGGCCGCTCCCTGGGGTCGGAGCCCGCGGCGGAGAAAGCTGGTGGGGGGAGAGGGGGATGGTAACGCGCCCCGCCCCCGCCCTGCTGCGCGCTCGCCGCGCAGCCTGCGCACTAGAGAGGAGCGCGATTATCCGCGTGACTCATCCAGCCTTGTCCCTCTCACACGCACGCAGGAGCCCGGCTCTAGTCCCCCGGCGCCACTGCGGGAGCTTGGCCTGGCCTCGCACGGTTGTTTGCGGACTTTTCTGCGGGATGGGGGTGGGAGAGTAGAGAGAAGGCGGGGGTAGAGAGAAGGCGGGGGCCCGGCACGGCGCGGCGAGGACTGGGAGCCTGAGAAGGCCGGAGGGCTGTTCGCCTGGGAAGGGCGGAAAGAGGCCGGGATGGGAAATAGAACTACAAATTTGATATTTAAAGGAGCGAGGAAGGGAGTGAAAGGGCTCAAGATTCAGTTTGTGAGGCGAGGGAGGGAAGAGGGGCGGGAGGGGCGGGGACACCTTTCATCCAGGAATTTTAAAGCACTTTGTAAGTCAGGCGCTCTTCTTTCCACTTTATGGATGAGAAAACTGAGTCATGAAGAGTTGAAATGGCGAGGCAAGGGTCAAACGGCAAGTCGCTCCCTTGGCTCTGGGTCCGAGCGGTCAAGCCCACCGAAAGGGACTTAGTTGAAAAGTGGCCCCGTGCCAGGAAGTGGAGAGATGCAATGGGACCCCAGTTCCCGGAAAGGGCACACGGAGCTCGCGGCAGCCGTCCCTGCCTACCGGGAAAAGAAGAGGAAACGGCTATCATTATTTCAGTCTTGTAACTCTGCCTCCCCACCCCCACTCCCCCTTAGTTTGTGATCAGTAATTTTCCAGCAGGGAAATGTTTTCGCTCTCATCTCTACAAACAGTGCCTTTTTTTTTTAAACGTGAGTGTAGTGTTCGGTATCGCTTTCTGAACGTAGGCTTGCGAGGTGTTTTATTTGGATTCAGGCGCGCAGAGGGCTGCGCCCGCCCTTTCCACCAAGCCCACTCGTTAGTATATGCAGCCGGCAGCAGTCGGGTGTCAGCCCAAGAAATAAAAGGGAAGAGACGGACTGGGGAAAGGGTCGAAAACCCCGGCACTGGACAGAGTGTTTGCTCACCCTCGTTGAGATCCAGTTGTACTTTAAGTCGTTGTCACCTGTTTTGAGTCCTGCGATCCGGGTACCTATTAGGTTTCCTCGGAATATTTGTTATCCTTGATTTCTCCACCCCTTGCCAACCGCAGAAGCATTCTTGGAATGCATCGCGCCCCGATTGAATCCACTCGGCCTTCTCTGCCAACGCCAGGAATCCCTCTCGGTCCGGAGAGTTGGAAGCCCTTGAGGATGACTTCCGTCCTTCAGCCGGGTTTTCGCCAAAGGCTGCGAGCCCTTGCAGCTGAGGGGAGGGCAAGCTTTGGCAGGGAAACCTCGACCCTCCCTCCTGTGGCCTGGAGGGTTTCAACCCCACCCCAGAGGAGCAGGCCAGTTATTTTAACTCTGAAAATATTGCCCGTTTCAAAAGGAAGAACCAAGAAAGGAGGATATATGCTACCTCTTTCCCGTGGTCCCTTCATTTGTGATGGCAACAGTTTCTTGGACTTGAGGGTTGCAGGGGACCGCTATACACTTTTTCATCAAGGCCAAGGTTCCTAAACCCCATTGAACTTGGATGAGCCCTTGATTGGCAGCCATCACCCTCAGGATGTAAGTATGTGAAGACTGGGAATTTCCGATTTAGGTAGCTAGTGCTGAAGATTTGTCTCTCTCTTTTTTTTTAATCTAAGGCAGTAGCCCTTCCCCTTCAACAAAAGTCACCACCACAATGAAAAAAACAATAGTCCACTGATGAATTGGAAAACCACTATTATTATGTCATATAGTCAAGACGAGATTCTGAAGCTCAATTAAAAAGATGAACTTGTAGTTGCCAAACAGCCTCCTGGAGGAGGAAAGGCAGTGCCCCTTTGTGGCAGGCAACTCTCTGGTTAATTCTTCTGGATTGCATCATAAAGGGAAATCTCTATATTTGCTCCAGATTTCTAAAAGAGGTAAGGAACTTCAAGTTCACAAATCATCTCCTTTCAAGGCAGGTGCCTGGTGTGACAACAGGGTTATGACCCTCCCTCTTGTCTTCAGAACAGGTAGGTCCAGAAGAGTTAAATCCCTGCCCTATATAATTTATAAACATGAGGCTGAGTAAACGTTTGATGACTAAATTGCACTCTAACATAATAGTGGAAGACACCCTTTAAAGAAGAATTAAATACTTACTGGTAACTTTATTTTAGCAAACTGATATTACAAGTTTTGTGGTATGGAAGTTAATTATTAATGTCCTTGGAGTCATAAAAATTTTTTTTCCCAGTGTAAACTGCATTAGTTGGCAGAAGATGAGATGGAAACCATTAGCGCTAAGGGCTTAATGTGGAGCCATGGAGGGGTGTGATGGGTTGAAGAGACTGCATAATTGTTTCAGGTGAAGGACTCTGCACCCAGAACTGGGCACGGGATCTGGGCATCCGGCAGTTGGCAGCACCCTGACCTGGTGTCTATGCATAAATGCCACAGGACTCAGGAAAAGCTGCTTTGTCAGAAGGTGAAAGCAAGAGATGCTTTTAGGTATCCAAATTGGCTTTGAGATGAAATCCCTACGGATAAATAACAGAGAGAGTCTTGTCACTTTCTCGAGGTGGCAAAGCTTTTCTCACCCTCTGAGTAACTCCTGTGTCCTGGTAAACTCCAGCCTGTTTTCCATCTCAGTCTGGTGTAGAAGTTAAGTAAGTGGGCTTTAACACTAGATTTCTCCGGTTTGTGTTCTGTCTCTTTCTGGCTGGGCAAGTTCCTTGACTTCACTTTGCCTGTTTCTTCTATACAATGGAGATATTAATAGGATGAAGATTCTAAATGGAACCATCCAAGTAAAGTATTTAGTGCAGGAGTTGATATGTAATAGGTGTTAATATCACCAGTATTCTCCAGGGCACCTTCAGCTTCATGAGGACAGGAGCTACTACTCTGTTCACTGCTGTATCCCCCAGTTCTAGTACAGTGCCTGCCTAGCACATGGTAGCACTCTATTAAGTGTTTGTTGAATGAATAATGTGCTTTTCATTTCTCAACAGTCCCTTAACAGGAAACCTGTCTTTCTTTTCAGCTCTCAACTATGCTCGCTAATCCCTTTTTGTCAACCTCAATACAGTCAGACTGGTATTATAATTTTCCCCAGAAAAATCTGTCACCTGGATTTCCCTCAACTCCTGCCTTATTTTCTTTGACCTGGGCATCCAGACGTCCACAGATTTCAACCATTTCCATTCTTGAATATCTCCACTATCTTTCCCCTACTATCAGGTTGGGCTGCCTTGGTAAAGCCCTCTTCATTTATCACTTTTAATTATTGCTATAACCTCCAAACTGTTGTTCGCCGCCGCCGCCTCCCCCATAACCCCACTGGGATTTCCCTGCTAGATCTAATCCATTTTGTTCACAAATCACCACAGTTCCACATCTGTCCAACCCCTGCCCCCACCTCAACCCTGCAAGAGCTGCCCTTCGCCTGAAAGAGCGAGACCAAACTCCTTAGTCTACGTACCCAACTCTTCCCACTCTGGCCCTCCGCAGACGAACAGTATCTTCTCTAGAGACTGACCGCACCCTCCCTCAACTTTAACTGACTGTTCTCTCAAGTCTCTGAAGACACGATGTGTATTTTCCTCATCTGTTTTCCTGCCTGAAATGCCTTTTCTCCTCTCGGGGCTCTCATCAGCCTCAAACTCCAGAGCCCCTCTTAACTGTCCCTTGGTCTGTTAGTCCCTGTCTAGATCAGTCCTCTTTCCTCTGAACTCTAATAAAGCCACGTGGCCACTGCGCTATGCCATTTACCCAGTGGATTCCTGGTTACTTGTTTGTGGCTCCGGTTCCACGGGGGCATCTTTAGGACAAATGCCCAGTGAGTATTCAATGTAGCATGAAGGGAGCCAGTGAAACCGACTTGGTGAAATGATTCATCTGGGAGCCCTGCCCTTATCTTGTCAGTATCGTCTCTGTTTCTGGCGGAGAGTTCACTGGCTTGGTACTCCGCTCTGCAGTCCCTTCTCTTCTTCCACCTACTTCTTTTCTTTGAAAAAATCCAATGAAGGAGGCAGAAGGTCAAGTCCTTCATAATTCTGTCCTCTCAAAGCACTCGGACGAAAAGTGAGGGGACAGCCCAAGCCAAGGCATTGTAATCAGACAAACTGGAAAACACAAGCAAAAATAACTGAAAGCCAAACCAAAACCAAACGGAGAAAACGTCCACTCTTCTGTAGGCAAATCCATTGCCTTTCAAAACCCAGATAGTGAGTTTTGAAGTTTTTAGAGCAGAAAATGAATCACAGACATGTAGAAATCAATTCAGAAATTTAATTAAAATCTTGTTCATGAACCTTTAGGTCAAATCACTTAAGCTACCTTCTTACCGCCCAGATGTGAGGCCCAGTCCATTCTTTAAGCTGTTCAAAAAGAAATTCTGCACCTGATGAGATTGTCTGAACAACTTGAACTATTCTGACAGTGATATGTTAAATTCAGCTTTTCAGTGTCCTTAGCTTGTTCTGGGATGTTAAGAAGATACAAACAAAAATTTAAAAAAAACTCTTTTTAGGTTTTTTTATTTTTAAATGTCTAAGTTACAGAGTAATCTTAAGAGTAAGATACATTCTTGTCATACTTCTCTTACCTATTAAATTAGGGTCTAGCATCTTTATCTATGATGAGTGTTTTTAAGGCCACAGAAGAATCCTCTGATACTATATGCTTTTGAAAATAAACCTAGTATTTAAAGTAAACGAGCCAGCAAAGAAGGCAGATCAGCAGAGAAA